AATCCTTGACCATGAAATATAATTTTAGATATCATAATTCTCATTAAAGTGGTTTAAAAACCGATATATTGATAAATATAGGATTTGCGTTGCAGCAATTTTGAAATTCAAGATGGCCGCCAAAATGACCTCGAATGAAATATTGTAGTTCATAGTAAAGATTTTGAATTCTGAGAGTCAGGGTATGGTTCTAATGTAAAATATGACAATTATGTAATTTTTAAGATACCATACAATATTTGACCTTAAATAACCTATTTGTGGCAATACCAGGTCAAAAATGGTATGATGGTTTTCCTTGACCATATAAAAATAGTTTCAGACATTAGAATTATACTTCCAAGTGGTTTAGAAGCGAAGATATAGATAAACATAGGTTTTATTAGGCGGCCATTTTGAAATCCAAGATGGCCGCCATAATGACCTCGGATGAGGTGGTTCCTACCAAAAATTGAATGCTATGACCATAAGAAGCTTGTAAAAAAAAATTGGTGCTTTTGTCCGGAACGTCCACATCCATCTGCTAAGCTGCCGGACTATATTGCACACTTAGCTTAATTAAGAATCTTTCGCGTTACAGGATTCGGTTTAAATCAGTAACTTTCTTGGTGATAAATTATTTGAAGCTCTACTCCTTAGCCAAGTCTTTTTTTGTCCGATCAGAGGTATTGAAGCAAGGTATCCAAGAACCTTTGGGAAAGATAAAAACAAAACAAAAATATTTGAAACAAAGAAGACTGAAATATTATTTTAAAGTTAATTGTATGGTAAATTTTAAAAATGTAAATACTTGAATATCATGTAGATAGTTGAAACAACTGTTCTTCCCAGAACAATCTACATTGATATACTGCAAGCATTACCAATAATGATGCAAATACTGAAAAAATATTAACTATGAACTACAGTATTGCAAACATGAACAGTTAGAGAATTCTCTACAGAGAGTGGCACTTAACCTAAAACACATATTCATTCAGTTTTATTACTTTTGATATGCAAAATATAAAATTGAATGTTGTGTAATAGAGTACAGTAATTGCATAGGTCAATAATGGGCTTAAACTAAAACAATTTAACATTTTGCTATATAATTAGGAACAACATCAAACAACATGTATGGATGGGGAACAAAAGTAAGCTTGAAAAAAACTTTAAGGCACATCTTTTTTTTTCAAAGATTTCAATACATTTTTCTTTAAGGGCAACTCAGACAACATCATACTACGAAGTTAGGTGCCATTTGTCGTTGAAGAATATTAAGCATTTTAAGATAATATTTACGATTTGACTGTCCCCAATTAATTTAAACTTAATAATCGCCTTTGTACGACTATAATAGTCGTAAAACAACGATTAAGACAAATGCTGTTTACTGTTTGTATGACTTCTTAGGTACCCAAGACTTTAATCAAGAAACAAATGGTAATTACTGTGTCACAGTAGAGTAATCACTTATTGCTGTGGGATAGTGGTATTAGCAAATGTGCAGTATATTCTTGCAAAATTTAACAATAAAAATTATATACCTTTACTGCTTCATCATGGCTGCTCTTCCATCATTTTTGTACCAAGAGACAAATAAATACACATTCAATAGTCGGTTTTTTCCCAGTGTCTACCACAAACAATATATTGCAACAAACATGGCTTCCTGTCAATGGATTGAAAACCTGAAAGAAATACCATATTATTTATAGTTAGGCCTATGCACACAACTAAATTAGCCCATATTATATATTTTTATATTTCTATTATTCATTACACTAAACATAGCCTCAAATGTTATTATCAAAAGATATAGGCCCATTGTTAATTTTTCTCTTTATTGAAAGAAAATATAAAAATTTACATTATTAACATCTTTAAAAAAAAAAATGACTACTGATGACATGACAGTGATGTGGCTATTATACCACCACTGACTGGCAGTATGTAGACCCATGACATGAGATGAATTATTAAACACACATAATAGGCCTAGGCCTAGCTGTTTTATTTTTGCGCTTTGTCCATACAACTACTTTTAACATTATATTTAATTTAATATAGACCTGTTATAGCATTTCAACACAGGACGTGGCTATTTTGCAAAGAAAGGTCTAGGCCTAGGCGATTAAAAATTACCGCTAATAATTTAATTTAATTTTTTAGCCCACACATCCAACTTGCAGTGGAGCACGAACAAGTAAAATTATGCCAACTATGCATTTACACTACCCTACAGTACTCTAGTCTAAGTATAGGCCTAGTCTCTTCTACTAGCTATGGCCAGAGGACTGCAGCTGGCGTATCTTAGCTACAACAAAGATAACCACATAATATATATAAAGCAAGCCTATACAGATACGATATTGGGCTAGTTTAGATACACCCTGTAATATAGTATACAAATATAAAGTTCCTACCATTTATTTGATAATGCTGAAATTCTTTAGTATGTAAACTGTGTATGAAGACAGCTTTACAGCAACTGATACTTCAAAAAATGAGCATTTGTTTCTGATTGGTCTGTACCTAATGACCTAATCTGATTAGCCCATTACTTGCCACACTTTCAAGGACAGAGAACCAATGTAATTACCATAATGATTAAAGATCATATGCTCTCATAATAGGCCTCTGAGTTTTTTTATACCCCACCATGGAGGTAAACTTTAATAAATCTTGTACAATTATTTCTATGAAATTTCATATCAAGTTGAGGTTGAGTTAAAGAAATTTAAACTTGGTTGAAAAAAATAACATTCTAAATATGTAAAAAATTAAAATCCAATTCGGCTTTGTTCAAACGAAGAGTATTTCCTTAATAAAGAAACTGGTAATCTTCTTGAACTGAAATCCTTGATAATAGAACCAAATG